TGATATGTAAGAAATGGGGCTAATTCTATAAAAGTTATAGTCTTTTGAAAATTTTGAATTGCATACTTCTTAGGATAGGGACTTTGTGTTAGACCAACATTTGGGGTTGTTACTTGTCATCTTGGCCACTTAGACACATACTCTGCAATCACCTTCACATACAATAGAACCACTATTCTTTATTCACCATCATTGTAACTCTCTGCTATGATGTTATTGCAAACATAAATCTCATTGGTGAAAAAAAAAATAAAGGAACATAAAAAAATTACAAAAATGCATTTTATACTCTAAAGGATTAAGTAAATTTAATTTTAACACATTCCAACTCATTTATAGGCATTAGCAAACTTATTTATTTTTCAACAAGTAACTTATTAATAGCTAGATTAACTATTTCTTTAATAATAATATATTATTAATTTATGTGTTAGGGTAAGTTACTTTTCATATGTTTTATTTCCATTTATCACATATCATTACTCACTTCCCCTACTTTTAGTTGTCTAATATTGCAACAATTGTGTTTATGCGGGCACACCATGTTGGTTAGTATATGACAACTAAAACCTACATCATCATTTTGAGAGTAGAACATAAATTAAAAAGTATGATAATGTTAAAATTAGGAAGATTACATGGAATTTGATCATAATTCTAAAGTTTCCTTCTATTTTTTCAGAGTATGAAATTTGTAACTTGTTCATAAAAGACAACTAAAATGTACTTTAAATAGATTTAACATGAAATGAAAAAAACATATATTATATTATTAGTTTTGAGATATAAAGATTCTTGAAAGGGTTGTTAAGTTAACTTTCCATGATAAGCATAATAATACACTTATGGAAGTCAAGAAAAATAAATACTACATGATTAACACTAAATATATTGCTGTAATGAGTGGAAGTATGGAGAGGATCTTAGCTTTTGCTTATATTAATTTTCCACAAAGAATTCATGACATTCACAAGTTGCTTTTATAAATGCTTAAAATAGTGATATTTGAAAGGAAACTTAGAAGCACCTAGTATGTTTGTCCTTCTTAAATATAGGAAATGCTTTTTAGAAGCAACTAGTGTGTTTGCATTGAACACACTAGGTTTTTATATAAAACATTGCATATATTTACACTAGAAATTTCACTTTCAGTGTAAATATAAATAATGCTTTTGAAAAGTACCTAGTATGTTTGTCCTTCTTAAATATAAACAATGCATCTTATAATTGCAATAATTTTTTTTTTTGTGACATTTTTGTTATCTTGATTAATTGCTATCAAATAATTAGATAATAAATAGAAAATTATTAAATTGTATATTCGTCTAAATCTGTAAAAGTATTCGTTGATATCATAGACATATGGGAGCCCACAAATGAGTGTACTTAACTAGTTAATGAGCTTACTTATTAGCTTGTTTGAATACTCATTTGATTAATTTAGGCAAGTGAAAACTCTATTATAAATAATTTTAAATAACCAAGCGTATGAATATATGTGAAAGTTTTGCTCGAGCTAAAGCTATAATTGAACAACTTTTCGTATGATCAAGATAAGTTTAATATATACCGTGCTTTACTAGACTTAGCTTAGCCTGATTACCACCCTACCATCTTTCTCTCTTTTTATTCTTACTATTGTAGATGTATATAATAACATTGGATACCAAAGGACCTCCTTATAAAAGGATAAAATACATGAATTACACATCTAATTTTGTAGCCTAGTCTTGTGCTTATTAGGGAACAAGATGGGTATATTTAACACCTCCAGAGTTGTAAGACGAATAATAGTCGTTCAAAGCTGAGTAGATTTAAGCCGAATAGATTGAAGTGAGTAGAACCCACTAATCTTGAATGACCTTAAATGTTGGTTTGAGATATCTTACTTAATTTTAAGTCGGAAAAATTTACCTATATACTATGTTTTGGTTTAATGGTGGACTTTTTCTTTATGATCATTTATGAAGCAAGTTTTGGATACACTTTAAAATTGTTTAAATTCTAAAGCTATGAGAAAGTAATCTATATAGAATATAATAATTTAATTTTTTATGAATACTAGGCTTATATAATTTTGTAATTAATTTTATTTATTTATTTTGTTAGAATATTTTTGTGGGGTTCTAAATGTGCTTTAATTTTTCGTTTTAGAAAGTTCAACATAATCTGATTAGATCTCGAGCCAAGTTAATTAAAAAATTAAAATGCTTATTTTTTTTAATGAACATTAACTTATATAATCATGTAATTAATTTTTATTCATATATATAGGGTATTTTAATGGGATCCTTAACGTGATCTAAGTTTAGTTTCAAATACCTCAACAAATTTTGAGTAGACCTCAAGCCAAGTCATTAAAAAAAATTATAATACTTAAAACATAAATCATTAAAAAGTAATGTTTATTCAAATTTAGTTTAAATAAGACATGTTGACACTCCATATGGTCTAAATGAATAAAATATAATAAATAGATTATATATATTATATTAAAATAATCAAAAAAGAATTCAAAATTAAGCTTTTTCCTTAGTTTAGACTTTATGTAGATGATGATCATTTTTCTCTTTTCTATAAGCATTTAAAATTAAATTGAAAATATTTATAAATTTAATAATAATGAGGAAAGATAAATTATTTTTTAAAATTAATATCAGAGATTTACAACTAACCGCACCATTCTTATGTATTTGCACATCTAACCTCTGTGCTTTAATATTTATTTATATAACTCCCAAATTCTTAACATAACATAAAAAACATCATTAATACTAATTTTTCTTAAAGTGAAACACACATTTCATATATATGCTTTGATGCAATTATGAAGCTAAAGTATAAATAAGTAAAATTCAAAATTGATGTGTTAGATTTGTAAATAAATACAGAAAATATGGTATGTGTGTAAATCCCTCATTAAACATGTACATTAATTTAGATTAATTAATGTGATCCCCAAAGGGCGTCATTAAGTTAATGAGTGAAAGATTTGATCATGTAATGCAAATAATATAGAATGTCAATGTAAGAGAATCATGTTAATAAAAGCTTAAGTATTGCATTTAGCACCTATAAAGCTTAAATAAAGTGACATATATGTAAAATTCAGAGTAATAGTTAACAATTGCACTGTCAATCTTAGATTAATGATTAATAAGTCACTAATTACTGATTAATTACATTAATAACTTGATGAATTACGATTTTAGTGAATCACTGAGCGATGGAGCAGCCCAAAGTGGAACAAAATAATCCACTTATTTGTCTAACTTATGTAAGTAGTTTAGTAGTTTAATATAATGGCAAGTTTTAAATTCAAATCTTCCGTGAATCACACCCAAAGAATATAGCGTTGGATCGATGAGAGGAACTGAGAGAGAGAGAGCGAGAGAGAGAAAAATAATCTACTATATATATAATATATATATATATATATTAGGGGTATCTAGTAATATTATATGTATATCCGTATTTTAATAGGGACGTTGCAAGTTATTATTACATCTTTTCATATTTGTAGCGGACTCTGGGACCCTTTCATAATCATAACTGAAATTGATACCATTTCATATTCATAACTGCTAGAAGAGAGTCATTTAAAACCCAATTAATCTTGTCATTAGTTCTGCTGAAATTTTTTTATCAGAAGAGACATACATCCGATCTGCTGAAAAGTCATCGGTCGTCCTTCTTAATGGATCATGAGTAGAGACCCTCTTATCATTAGGGTGAACTTGAGCTGTCAGTTAAATGATATATCACCGTAATATGCGGCCAGCTTTCTTGGATAAGTGGCCATATCAGATGGTCAGAAAGTTATTTTGCACACATTTTTGTGAAGAATTCTATAACTGGCTGAGGGAACTAGGCACGTTCAACTGCACCTTGGATTAGATGCTTTCTCCTCATTAGTCCATATGTGCTTCCATTCAGTCTGCTTAACATTCCAATCAAAGAAAATGACGTTTGACATTTATGTATTTTGGCAATCCTGTACACTGTCATTTAGTGTTCTTCATAAGATATTTTGAATTTTCTCGAAATTCATGCGATCATATTTTTGATGTATAGACAGCATTCAAAAACACTGATTAAATTTATTTTACAATTAATGAAATACTTTTAATGTGTATTAAAATTCCAGGACAATTTTTTTAGAAATGTTGTGCATCTAAAACTCAACTATATTGTTTACATAAACGATATAAAATTTTAAATAAAATCAAATAAATTTATATAATAGTACATAACATTAGAGAGTTAAACAAAATATGAAAGATTATATGCATATAAGCATTGCATAATCATTAACTAACAATATTAAATTATGTTTAGAGAAGTTTAAACTATACATTTCCCTCTACATATAAATCTTAAACTATATGTTATGGCCTTATGGGCAATTTTACTCCTATTTTAAAAATCTAAAAGAAAATTCATTTAGTTAGCATACTTTATCATGTATTTTTGTAAAACCTTATAAAGAATAAAATGCATATTTATATGAAAATTTATTCACTATACATGAATTAATCAACCCCTTTCAATGATATAAATACAATGACATAAATAAAATAAAATAAAAAAAACATCCAAAAGTTAAAATATGAAATTAGCTAAAATATATATTAAGATTTAGTGATTGATTAAATAAAAACATAAATAAATAAATAACACATAAATATAATAAAATTTTAAACATAGAAGATTTTATGCTTTAGGCTCAAAACATAGCTGAATAAACCCAAAGTTTTAAAAACCATTTAGAAAAACAAGCTGAAAAAAAAAAAAAAAAGAAAAAAAATTGCGCCCGGACGCAAGCAGCATCCGGACAACGAACGCGATTCACCAGAGGGGCAGAAAAGAAAAAAAAGCCCTCACCCGGTGTATCACATATGTTGTGCACACGCTGCTTGCATCCAGGCTCCAAACGCAATATTTTCTCGGAAAAAAAAATTTCTATTAGTTTAACATCAATGGAAAAAAAATGTTGCATCTGAATTACTACTTGCATAGGCATGTCTATTTGCTGCGGTAAACCAGTTGAAGAAATGTGCACAAAATGCACATAAATTAATAGTCCATCAAATCCTCTATGTATTAAACCTAATTACAACTCTGCAAAAAATTATTCACATAAATCATTAAATTTCTGAATTTTTTTCTTTTTTACCTGCCCACTTTAGCAATTGCAAAATTGTGCATCTAAAACCTCTTCCTGCTGCTCTTATGAGCTATCTGGAACTTATCACTCAATAGCTACATAAAGACCCAAACTTCATAAAATCTGGAAGCTGATACATCATTTGTGCTGATAAGTTCAATTTGTATAATTGTGCTCTATCAACAACTTACCTATAGGACATAGTACACTGCTTGAAGTTTAGAAGCTTTATCTAATCTCTTGGCAATGAGTTCTGCCGAGTTAACTCGTATTCTGGCACTTGATTGTCGTTGTTCTTTGGACGAGTCGAACATAAGAAGAAGAACGAAGCCGTGTATATGGAGATGTGCCATAAACTGAAAGGTATTAGAAAAGCAGAAAGAATATTATCAGTTTTGAGAATATATAAGCATGTTAAACATGCAAAGTAATGAGAATTAAGTGTAACTGATATGCTTGTGAAACATAGAAGAAACATATTTGGTCGCACAGAATAATGATCAAATTCATATTAAGTCATGCGTGATGAATGTAAAATATACAGAGAGATGCAATCATAATATAGAAGCCACTGAATAGAGAGCAACATTAGAAATTTGAAATTTGTTATATTTTTACATGACAATAGCAAATTTGTATATTATATTCGTACATAACAATAGAAATGATAGAATCACCTTAAAAAAAACTAGAAAAAAAATCTTTCTTCCATAATATATGGTTTTAAGTTTTTGTCTGAATTGATTTCCACCATTCTAATTTAGGATAATAATTTCTAACCTGAGATTATTATATTCTTGTTGCATGATTTTCTGCATCATATATTAAATCCGAATTACAAATTCTAGACCTTAAGATGTGCTATAAATTAACTAGAAGCCGTAGACCATTCAAAGCGATACCTCCCATCACAAGTCTCTCTCTACAGAAGTAATGGGAGGAAAAAATTCACATGAAACTTTACACAGCAAAGAACATTATAACATCAAATATTACAACATAATACACGACAATAATTTGGATAGCGTTAATCTTTAACAAAAATAAATAAATAAATAAATAATAATAATAATAATCACATACCTATGCCAAAACCAGTAGTTTCTGTTGGTTTCTAATGTCCAGCTTGTTCCAGCAAGAGCCAATCCAATAAAACCAAGAAATATGAACGGCCAGCGGAATCTTTTTAGCAGCGTGTTAATTAAATTCCAGCACCATCTCTTAATACTTTGCCAACTGTAACATAGTCAGAATGTTCCATAAAAACATGAATGAATTGATCAGGAATATCACATTACACGCTAAGGTTAGTAGTAAGTAATATAGCAATTTTGCATCTATGTACTGTGGATTTTATCCTTGCAGTATAAGGTTTATTGCCTTTTGTTGAAACGAACCAAGTTGGAGGCAGAGAAATTGTCAAAATGGTTCCTTGACTTTTTGTAGCGAGCAATTTTAAAATCGAGTCTATAATAGAGCCATTTAGTGCCCAGACTCTTTTAACGAGGGTTTAAATAGTTTTCTTTTGAGACTATTTTAGTCCATAATAAAAGAGTCTGGAGACTATGGGGCAGCTTGTGCTTATCATGGTAAGCAACTTATCCTGAAACGCGGCCCGCGGGTAGCTCATAGGATTCGACCCGCGGTCTGCTTTTAGTGTAAAAACCCAACCGTGTTTTCGGATAAGCTGCCGAAACGTATTTTCCAAACGGTGAGACGGCATTTTGAAAATGCCGCCTGCACTTTTAAGCTGCCCCAAACGGGACCTAAATTAAGACCATTATAGATTTTGAGATTAAAATGACCCATTACAAATAGTCGAGGGACAATTTTGGCAATATACTTGATGAAAAGGCATGATACTAATAAAAGATCACAAAATATACTAATGATTATTCAAATGATATTAAAAGTGTTTGGGGACTAAATTAGCACCTATTACAGAGTCCAAGTCTAAAATGACCCACTATAAAGAATCAAGGGACCATTTTGACAATATACTTGGTGAAGGCATAATATTAATAAAAGTATAACAGAACAAACCGGTCCAGCATACTGAAGCCAAATCTTGGTGGCCACAGTGATCTATTTGCAGAAGAAAACTCTAGGAACCATCCCACAAGAAGGCCGAGGGTGCCAATGGCTATAACAATGACAACATTTTCTGACCTGAAATCATCAATTCATTATCAGCACATTGAGCTCATTTGGAATCATCAACCCAAATCTTTACCTGGTTGCACCGGTTACTGCTAGGAGAGCAGTGACAATGGCAACAGCTGTGTGAATCGCTCTTTTTGAAGCCTCGTCAATTGTAGCCATATATACAAAAGTACTCACCACAGCCATGAAAGACAACCAAAAGTCCATAAACTGTTGCAAAAGAAGTTTAAAGTATTTTAACAAAAACTTGAAAGCTTGAAAACTTTGAAGAAAAAAAATTAAAATAAAATAAAGAGAACCACACATGTTCTAAACTCTTTACTACTAGCCAAACTAAATAACAAGCTATTATAAGATTTTTATCGGATCAAATGTATTTCCAGAAAGAAGCATTTACATAAATACCACCCAATTCTCATGTATTTATATATCTAACAACTAACTAAATTTTACTTTTTTTACTTTTTACATTTATACCACCAAAATCTTTCATTTCACATAAAAAAATACCATTTTAACTTTCAAAAAATGAAATACACCTTTTCATGCATATGGAAGGTGGCATGTAGATAAAAATTAGAGTTTAGGTGTTAAGTACATGAGAATTGAGTGGTATGGATATAAATCCTCGTTCCAGTTAAATTTAAGAAAGCATTTTGCAATTTGTCCTGCTTCATAAGCAACAAAGCACGCATGAAGAGTAAAACACACCTGAAGTGCATGAAAGGAGAGAGCACACCAGCTGCCCACATCGCATGCATGGTAAAGCCCACTTGAAATTCCACTAGAAGTGAAGAGCACCCATTCGGCAAATGCCTTGATAAACAACGCAATGATATCAAAATGAGTTCACATGAAACTTTCTACATACTAGCTAAAATGAATAAATCGCAAAATAGTACTCTGATTAATTGGATGTGACCAAATTAGCAACAGAATTTTGTGGTGCTTCAATTTAGTCCCTTGACTGTTGAAACTTGACCTCAAAATTAGTTTTTTGTTAGAAATTATGATACAAAAATGGTTTCAATTTAGTCCCTTGACTATTCAAAATTGACCTCAATTAGATTTTCGTTAGAAATTATGATACAAAAATTATTTCAATTTTTAGTCCCTTGACTCTACAAAATTAATCTAAACTCAGTCTCTAGGAATCAATTAAGATCAATTTTCAATAATCAGGAGACCAAATTGAAACACTACAAAACACTACAATTAAATTGGCCACATCTGAAGAGCCAAGGGACCATTTTGTGATTCAACTACCGGCTAAAATGACAAGAGACATTCTCAACAAAGATGTATATTGAAAGATTTTACAAAAGAGCTACAAATTGTTGCTAGTGTTGCAAGACTTTTCACCATTTTAATAATGCATTTAATTCATTAAGAGACAGAAGATGATCTTGGAGTCAATTTTTAAATTGAAAATATTTTTCTTTATTTTTCTTCGAAAAAGTTAAGTAGTCATCCCACCTTGTTTGCACAGCTCAATGTACACAATCATTAATTTGCAGAATAACTAGCATGGAAATCATGAAAATATCAAAGAGTAAGCATGTTTTTGCATTATGTGCTGTGACAAGGTATATTTACTAATGCAGACAGTGTAGAGAAGATAATTCATGACTATTAGTGCAATATTAACTCGAAAAAAAAAAGAATCCCATAATGGAGAGATTTATAATTTTCACTCATTCGTTCATCCGTGCGAACTAACAGAATTTTCGTGAGTCTACCAAGATAGAATATTATTCTGATGAAAAGCAATTATAGTGTATTGCTGCATTCTACACAAATATTATTTTACATGTTCAGTCTCCAAACTCATTTTTTTAAATGCAAATAAAAGATACAGAAACACAGCACTTTACACAATAATTTGAGGAGATTAATTGACCCAATGACATGAAAATGGTTGGCTTAAAAAAAGCCTCATGAATTCAGGACAGTACACAATTTTGAATTTCCCTGAACAGTGCAAAAATGATCCTGACATACACTTATGAGTGTGAGAATCACTGGAAAGCAACATAATAAATATTCTAGAGATTTGCCCAAAATGACAAAGGTATCAAAATGGGTTTATTTAGTTTTGGGGATCTGATTTTCTATGGGCGCAATCCCCTATGATTAATGATATCTTGAATGAAAGGCTTGAGAGCCCTCAATTAAGTACATTCAAATTTTTGATTTTAATTCATCACAAAAGAGTCCTAAGATTGCTGTTCCATCCAAAAAGAAGAATGACCAAAAGGGCTAAGCAACATGTACAAAAGACAGCAGACACAACAAGATAGACATAATGACACCATCGATGATGAGTAAAATAAATGGGTCATATGATTTGAATGAGAATTGCCCCACAAAGAGTCAAGTAACTCAATATTGACCTATAAGAAGGAAAGTTAAAGAGAAATCCCTGTTAAGTAGATGGGCACAAAATCCTTGAACGACCAAGGAAAATGCTCGAGGGAGAACCGACCTAATACTTGGTAAACACTCTCCCTAAAAACTTAATCGTGGAAAAATGGGTATCACAAAGGCTGACAACAACACATACATATTAGAAAAAATGCATTTTAACTACAACTAAATGATTTCAAAATCATGTCATTAAATTTCAAAATAATGCAAGAAAGGCCAGGACAAAATAGGATGAAAGATAGGTAGATCTTATAATCTTGCCATACATGTTTATCTCACGAAAAACAATTCTTTTAAGCATCATGCTCGCCCATATAAAAATGAATTTGCACAATTCCCTCTCTCGAGTCGAACAAGTTTGACCAAGCTTGTGATGATTAGCCTTGTCATGCTTGTTTAACCCAATGACTCCATAAAAAGCAGCGATTATGACTAAAGCCCCCTGTCTAAGATGATTTGCAGTCAAATGACATCATTATATTATGATCATGACTGCAACACGTATGTTCCCCAATAACTTTCTATCATTTGAGTTTTGAACCATAATGATACAATTAATTTGCATAAAGTATTCTGTTAGCTAAAATCAACTTAAATTTGTCCCCCCCCCCCCCCACAAAAAAAACAAAAACAACCAACCATCCACTCAAATCTACAATGATCCCTGGGACAACACAACTCATGGTTGCTAACAAGGATCTTTCAGTCGGATAAATCGACTAACTTCTCTGAATAAGTACATCAGGAACCACAATGACCCAAGACGACAAAATCACGGGATCACGATCGACTTTGTTATCATTTCCCCCACTATCTGCATTAAGCTCAATGTGATAAATTGATCAATCGAAAAACCTAAAGACTGTTGCTACTACACGATGAATATTTAAAGCTAAATGACTACCCTTAATCAAAAGTGATCTCTTATTATCAGGAGGGATAATTAACCATAGAAGCTTGCACTTATGGAAAAACTCGAACCCCCAATAAAAAATTCCTAGAAAAATGAGGGGGAAATATCTGAGTAGTGTCTTATTTATAATCTAATCAAACTTCTGAAAATTTGACCCGGAACAACAAACATAAAGCTCTCAACACATTAAGGAGAGTCTAGGGCATCAAATTTTCGGAGCACATAGATTTTTGGCGACTCTAGCGAGGAAAGGTTCTGTTTCAATCTTTGGCTAGTAATATATTTGATTTAATAATAGCTTAAAGTTGATAAATGATAAATGATAAATGAAAAGCTAAAATTGCCTTTATATTTTGTAATTATTTGAAAGATGAGTAAATTTTGTTTAGTGAGCATCGAGGCATGACACTTGGATCTCAATTCCAATAATTGTCACCAAAAGGTCTCAATTGTAAAACAAATATTATCTAGTGAGCATCGATGTATAACACTTAAATTTTGATAATCTAAGAATCTACTATCAAAAGGCCCCAACTGAAAAATAAATATTATATGTTATGTTGATTCTTATATTTTGATGATCTAAGATATGTTATCAAAATATCCCAATGGAAAAAATTAATCATCTGGTGAACATCGAGGTATAAACCGTGGATCTTAATCTGGGAATCTACCGTAGAAAAATCCCAACAGAAAGGCAAGCTCTAAGTCATATAAGGGAGCATTCATACCCGCAACCAATTAAAAGATCATAAATGAGTTAAAAGGATAGCCAAGTGGTGATATAAAACAATCTTTTTCGAGTCAATAAAAATAAGACCTTAATCCTAAAAAATAATAATATGAAAAGCTAGAGTGCACAAGATTTTCAAAGTTATCATAGAAAGAGCTTAATGAAGAGAATATGTTAAAAATTTATAGAGATTTAGACCAACAAAGCACCAATCAGGAAGCTACTATCTTTCATCTGATATGATAGCTCAAGATTCATGAAGATGAAATGATCAGAGAAAGATTTGGCATGACATCAAATTTATAGTCTCTAAGGCCTGCCTTTAACAATATCATTCAAAGATGGGCTTTGAAGAAGGCGCGTTGATGAATCTCCTAATAGTCGACACCTTGAAAAACCTGCTAAGAGATCCCATTATCAACAAACATTAACCACACGGGTGGAGGGATTATCAAATTAATGTCAGCAAGATATGACTCTAATCATCCTCACTCTCAAAATATATCCAAAGCAATCAAATAGAGATGTATCTTTAATCTTCGTCGATGGGAGGATTATTGAATTCGAGCTGACATAGAAAAATTTCAGTAGAGGGATCATCAAACCTAAAGTTTATAGAAAATTTGAACATAACTTGAAAGGTTTGTGTCATCGAGAAGGCATATAGAGAAAAGTTTGCCAACTCATCAACCTAAATAGTCAACCATTAATATTATCAATTAATGACCAATGTTTAAGAGACATTACACATAGCATCCTAGTCAAAGCTATTATCAAAATTTCTTCAAGAAAAGAAGAATACATGCTCTATTCCAACACAAGTGTAATATTTCATTAAAATTTTATCTTATGATACGAGAACGTATTTCAAAATTACCATGAAGTTTCCCCTCCAAGATATGGGACATTTTTTTAGTTTAGTTATGCTGAAACCATGCTCTAAGCCGAAATCCTTAAAAAGACCCAAGCATTCCTAGGATTTCTTTTGCAAGATGGGCCTACTCAATCATCTAGGTCAACATCGCACTAAATATCAAGATCCCTAGATATATCTACTAAGCATTGAAATCACCTCTTCACGAAACAAGGGGGATAGTCATTCGAGGTGGCACTGAGCTACACATCAAAGCCTTTCATCCATGTTGATATCGCGCTCATGGCCGAGATCCTTAGATATAGAGTAAAATTGTTCCTTTTTGCTAGATGAGGGACAAACATTTCAAAAATTCTTACGCATTCAAGTTAATATCATGCCCAAGGCTGAGACTATTGAGCACCTTGAACATTAATGACCCTTTATCAGGCAAGGAGCCCATTCTTTTGGGTAAATATCAAACTCAAAGCCGAGATTTCCAAGCCAAAAGTGTCAACAATACTCCTAACACCAAGATCTTCCTCCATGTAGGTTGATATCATATTTATTGTCAAGATCCCTTAGTAACTTGGGTACCATCGTCCTTATGTTGAGATCCCTGAGAAGATGTCCAAGTTTTCAATGATAAAGTTGTGTTCAGCTTGACAATATAAAAATAACAAGTTTCGAATAAAATGTACAAAATGATTCTAAAGGTCGGAGGTTCGTCTTCAAACATCATTAATATTTCAATTGTCAAGCAAAAAAAATCTATTAAAATCCACAAGCTTCATCCAGTTAAGTTGGAAAAGCATAAATCCTCTTATGCTCAAGTCTAAAACTCATATGGCTAAGTTGCTGGCTTTTATTTTTACTCAACAAGCTAAGGC